GAACATTTTGAATGCTTTTATTGTAACAGAGTATTCCTACACTCTGGTACTTCTACTTTTACTCAAGTACAAGATCTGAGTACTTCTACTTTTACTCAAGTACAAGATCTGAGTACTTCTGCTTTTACTCAAGTACTAGATCTGAGTACTTCTCAGACCTATTAGTGTTCTAGTAGTTTAATTCAATCGATAATACATTTCTTCTCCTCCTCAGTGAAAGCACTCTGTGGCTGTTTGACAAGTAAAAGTAGAACAAGCCAAAAACCACTTTATATGCAAGTTTGTACTCGAGCTGAAAAGCGGCTTGAATATGCTATCGTTGTATACCACATTTAGGGGGAGATCATGTTTCAAAGGAACATTTCATATTGTCATAATGTTTGTGAGTTTCTACTAAATAGAATACTGCCTTTACATGTTGCCTGAGCAGTCAGACATCCAGACTCCTTCACAGTGAATTTGAATGAATTATTTGTTTCTCCTCCAGCAGGTGAGCTCCTGTCCAGGCACATTGGTCCATGCTCGCTGGACCTCTGGGCTTTGGGCTCAACTAGCATGAAGATGGCTGACTCGGACAAGGCAGAGGATTTTGTGGATGCTGAGTCCCCCACAGAGTGCCTTGATGAAGCACAATCAACCACAGGCTCTGCCCAGGATGAGCATCTGAAGACAGAGACCACCACCAGTACCAGCTCCCCCCCCAGGGAAAAGGAGGCAGACAGCCCCTTGAATACAGAGGGTGAGCTGAGTCTCCTCTCCATGCCGTGCCTGATGAAGGAGCTCCGCAGAGACTCCCCCGAGTCCCAGCACGCCTCCACAGGAAGCGACAAGCCCGCGTCTCTTCGTATCGATGAGAGCGACTCCTCAAACCCCTGCATGATGTCCCCCTCCTCCAGCGGACACCTTGCTGACTCAGACACACTCTCCTCGGGGGAAGAAGGGGCCACTCCTTCCACAGGAAAAGACGAAGAAGGAAACATGGATACGACAAACGACGGGCAGGCGACAGGAAAGCAATCATCTTCCTCAGCGACGGGAGGGAGGAAGGCCCGGCGGTTACGTTCAGAGAGCGAGATGCCGCAGAATGCACTGGCTGCAAAGAAAAACCGCTGCCAGCCCACCGTAGTAGCTGCGGGAGGGCCGGAAAAACAAACCAATGGCAAGCTGGCCAAAGTGAAAGGTCACCGGAGCCAGAAGCACAAGGAGAGGATACGTTTGCTGAGGCAGAAACGTGAGGCGGCGGCTCGGAAGAAGTACAACCTGCTGCAGGACAGCAGTACGAGTGACAGCGAGCTCACGTGCGACTCCAGCACCAGCTCCTCCGAGGACGACGACGACGACACTTCAGGAGGCAGCAAGACAATCAAGACAGACCTTACAGGTAACATCCACTGTACACAACACATGCTCATAGCACAGAACCACTGAGGGAGTACAGGGTAGCTGTAGCAGCCTAGATATACACACTGCTTCAGATAGTAACAGTAAAACATATTGTACAACTACACATCAGAGTCAAACTCAGCTGATTGCATTATTTCAAGTTTCCAGGCGACCCGAACCATTTCCCACTTCCAACATATAGTAAGAACATGTGATGGGGCCGTTCAAAGCCTTTGTAAAATCAGAACAGAACAGGAACTGCTTTGTTTGTGTTGTTTATCAATCACTTTCTTTTCTTTTTTGTTATTTTCTCAATCATCATCACGCCTCATTCACCGTGTCTTTAAATACTAAGACCGAGTCACTTGTCGTTATATAACACATGTTGTGTCAGAAGAACTGTGTCTCATCGTTTGCATGCTGTGAAGTCTAGAGGACATTCTTCCACTCATAAACGGAGTTAATCTAACCTATATTGCGAGCTTTGCAATTCAACAAGTGAGCCATTTATATCCTCAGCCTTTGCTGTAAATAGACAATGAACGTGGTACGATCACGCCGTCACTCTGAGTCTCTGCAGTTACTGTTGGGCATTGGTAGAAACACTGTCTCATATCTGCCGGTTTAGAGATTCAATTATATTCAATATGCCGTTTTATAATGATGCTTAAAAGTCCATTTAGTGTAGTGTTTTCCTGCAGCTGAACTCTCTCACACGTCTGCACAGGAAGCTGCTTAGACTTGCTAACAGGTGGTTCTCCTCCTCACTTTAATGGGCTCTGTCTGCAGCACCTGTTTAGTACCAACACACACCGACAGTGTTGTCTGCACACCGGCCCCGTGTTGGTTCCCTTAGTTCGTCTTGATTTTCCTGATGATTGTAGAAATCTCTTGGGTGAGTTGAGTTTTTCATAAGTAGCTTTTAGCCTGGGGTTATTTACAGACCTGCTGCTGACTTCTGGTACTTTATGCTAATCCTTTCACTGTGGTTGCATTTCCTAGAATACAAGTGGTTGGGTTGGTTCTTCTTGTAGACAGTTTTTCAAAGCTTTTGTTTGATAAGTTAAGAGGTTATAGTCTAATGTTTCCGTCCAGGAGAACTACAGAGGTGCATACTTGGTGCCTATCGATGATATTAACCCCAACGCATATTTTAGTAAGAGGTTTTAGAAGACAATATATTTGGTTTCCTTGGTTTATAATTAATTGAAGTGAGTGTTTTTACCTCAAAATCCAAACTAGGGCTGTGCAATTAATCCTATTTTAATCTCGATTACGATTTTGGCCTGCAACGATTACGAAAACAACGTAATCAAAAATAAAACGATTATTATTTTTTTTTTTATTGGTTTTTCAGTTGAATTATCCTTAAAGTTCAGGGTAATCAACTGTTTGTTTTTTTCAATAAATGGATGTTTTCAAAGTAAATGGATAATCGTTTTTAATAATTGTGATATCAATTATTGACCAAAATAATCTAGATTATGATTTTTGCCGTAATCGAGCAGCCCTACTCCAAACCACAGTCGCCGAAACATCAGTTATCTCCCCCTCAGGGGTCCGTTTCTACATGAAATGTTTTCAACCATTTTTTTACATCTCGCACACAAATTTGAGTGCTTCAACTGCATGATGTAGTCCATCAGCATGTCGAGTCGATCTGCACGTAACCACAACAAAACAAACTGTCATTTTCTCTTTTTTTTTTAAATACAAAAGTCCACATCCGAAGCATGAAAGTGCCACTGTATTTTCTTATGGCTTGGCCTCAATGTCTTTAAAGCTGGCTTCAGACGTGCGTCGGAGAGATCCAGAGTGGGCGCCCAGATTCATGGGCTGCTGGACACCAGTTCGTGGGACAGGAACGGCATCGGCAGCGTTCTGGAGGAAGCCATGACGCGCTTTGCCGTGATGCAGCGGCAGACCGAGGAGCGCTTCAGAGTGTGGATGGAAAAGCTCTCGCACCTCGACTCGGACAACGACTCGTCCAAACGCTCCAGCGACGCCGTGGAGGGCCAGCAGCAGCGCCCGTCCCCCCCCAGCTCCTTTTTGCCATCGTCAGAGTCTTCAGAGACTATGGCCGCCTACATGTTGGCGCGAGAGAACAACAGCCTCACCTCCACCCCCATAAACAACAACAACAACATCCTACCTGAAGCGGTCACTCAGAACGGAAACCTAGCTGTTCCAGACCCCGGGATCTTGAATGTCTAAGATCTCTACACCACTCCTCGCTGTTTCACACTTTGATATTAGAGCTAGTTAATGCAGAAAGCATGGGCAATGGGTATTAATAGGTAAATGATGCGACACGGAGACACCATCGTCAGCAGCCGGACCCCCAGCCGGTCATTTGAACTGTGTGCAGTCCTGAAGACTCGCTGGCACTGAATCACTGTGAGATCTGACATTTATGAAAAAGAATTCAACTCACCTGTTTGATATCTGCAGCGTCCGTGACATATCTCAATAGACTGTTTAGTCAGGGCTCTTATTCTACTGCTTATTGTATCTTTCTTTGTTGTGTACCAGCTGTACACACACACACACACACACACACACACACACACACACACACACACACACACACACACACACACACACACACACACACACACACACAGAGGTCTGGTTATGTCATTCATACAGCACCTGTGCAGACATTAGTGCTAGGTGGGGTGCTGCTGCTCATAGCATGTGCCTTGTCATTCTGATCTCACGCTGAATGATAGCTTCAGCATCACAGCACAGCACTGTTTCTTTAGAGGTGAACTCCAACACTACATCCAACTGATGTTTGCACTGGTTCAGGACTTTCCACACATCTTATCTCAAGCTTTTATTTGTTGGTGGTATAGCTTTACTAGCATCAAAACGTTTTAAAATCACAATATAGATTTCCCTATATACATAAAACACAAAAATCGAAATAAGACGTAATTAGATTAGCCGTGTTTACATTTTGTAATGTTTGCCTTTCTGTTACATTTGCTGCTATCGCTGCCTCTGCGCAGTAACAAGAAACTTGTGGGGGGGTGTGACTCCCAATGTTTATTTTTAGTAGCCTATGTATAGATTATGGACATCAGATGAGGTTCCTATGTTGCCGCTATTAGCTGCAATGTGCATCTAGACGTTTACTATTTGCCAAGTTATTTGATTCTTCTGGTCTGCCAGCTCACCTGCGTCTCCTGAGGCGCCGCGTGTCCCTCAGCTTGCCTTTTTAAAACCGGCATCAAACTAACAGATACATAGCAGTGATACAGCTGCAGTGAATGGTGCATGGCAATGTTTACCCATGTCCTAAAGTGACTGATCAAGTGGCCTTTGGTTCAGATCCTGTGGTCTTTGAGGCTCTCCTCCTCACTCTGCTTCTACACTGCTGCTAACACTCGCCATCTCTGACATGGATGAAGGAGTCGTTGGCGTAATCATATTTATAGTTAGGGTGTTACAAAAAAAGTTACATTTTCTGTATGTGTATATGTAGCCCGATGATGACGGAGCCACAGGTTTCCCCCTGTTAGCATGTGGTTTTATTAGTATATAGAATGTGCAAGGCCAAGTTAGTTTCATCAGCATGTGTGCTAACGCTGATCCACGGTGACTGACAGCTTTAGTTGTTTTTCTCTTGGCCTTGTGGTTTTGTTTCAGATTGTGTGAATATTGGTGTTTTGTTTTAGTTCACGGTGCATTGTTACTTACATTCTGGGTTTCAAATGAATCCAACAGCTGCTGTCCTGCAACTGGAACGACCTTTAAATCAACACGAGTGCATACGATCACAAAGCAGTGTGTGCGTTAGAAACACAAAGGACAGTCCATTGTTTACCAAAGAGGCTCTCCTGGTTTACATCCGTCCTTTTTCTATCTTTACTACACAGCCTTCGGTACCTGCTACCCGCTATCCGCTACCTGTTACCCGCTACCGTCCGCTACCTGTTACCCGCTACCCGTTACCCGCTACCTGCTACCCGCCTACTTCAGCCCAATCATCTGTTCATAGGTCCGCAGTGTTCTGTCACAGTACATGCTGTGCAGACCACACACACACACAAACACACACTCTCTCACTTTCTCTCACTTTCTCTCTCTCTCTCTCTCTCTCTCTCTCTCTCTCTCTCTCTCTCTCTCTCTCTCTCTCTCTCTCTCTCTCTCTCTCACACACACACACACACTTTCTCCCCCCCCTCTCTCTCTCTCACACACACACTTTTCTCTCTCTCACACACACACTCTCTCTCTCTCACACACACACTTTTCTCTCTCTCTCTCTCACACACACACACACTTTCTCCCCCTCACTCTCTCTCTCACTTTCTCCTCTCTCTCACACACACACACACACACACACACACACACACTCTGGTCTGATGACAGCAGTGTGTGTCTCTTACAGGGTAGAACACAGAGAGTTGTGCTCTGATTGATTATCCCTCTGCATTTCATGGTCGGACTGATGGTTTTTGTAAATGACTGTATTTTAGTGTAGTTTTTACGTGAATGGCTGTTATTTTAAAAGCAATAAATGGAGAGAAAAATAAATGCTAACGTTTTTTTTATTTACTCTTATATAAAGATTGTCTGATTCTGATTTCTTTAAAAGTCTGACCTTTCTTTGTTTGTCTTAGAATTATCATTTTAAATGCAATTAAAGTGAACATTATATATTATAATCTATCAAATAACTTGATACCATCTGCCCCAAGTTAAAGGACTTCCTCTCAATCTAAGACACTTCAAATGAAAGTAATCCAGATTACTTGACTGCTTATAAAATCCAAGTAAGACTGAGTTTACCCGATTGATGTCTTTATCAGTATCAACTTGAAGAGGCTCTATTCTGCTTTTTGGGGTATTCCTTCACCTGTAGGAATGTAAACCTGTCACAGTAGAGACACACAATACAAATGTGAAAATAAGCATAATATGTCCTCTTTAAAATACAGTTATTCCAAATGTTTTCAAAGTTCTTCCATAAGAGGCGCTTTCACACCGGAGTACTTTTCCCGTTTAGTCCCGATAGTTCCTGGGATTTTGCGTTCACACCAAAAAGAGAACTTTGTTCATGAGAACTTTTCCCCCCATTTTTAGTGCCTGCTAGAGAGGTGGGACTATCCTGGGGAGGAAAAAGTACCAATTTCTGATTGGCTGGACGAATTGCAAACCACGCCCCGTAAAACTGAAAAGATTTGTGAAGCCGCCATTTTTTTTCATGGCATTAGCATTATTAGCATTAGCCCCACGCACCAACGCAGAGAGACTAACTTATGGCAACACAACAAAAAACATGGGAGCGGTGGAGATGAGGAGGTGTCGGCGTTCTGGCGATTTACTCGGAAGGCTTCAGTAGAAGCTGCTGGGAGTCCCAGCAGCTTCTACTGAAGCCAGTCCCCAACACCGGGGACTTCCGGCAGCTTCTACTGAAGCCAGTCCCCAACTCCGGGGACTTCCGGCCGGGGACTCCGGGTGGCAGTATACGCCGTGAAGTTGTTGCGGCCTGCCAGTAAACCCAAAGCAGAAGAAGAAGAAGTGACGTCAGCGGCTTCATTTGCCTAAATCCTTCCTCAGGGACTTATTCCGGTGTGAACGCGATCTGCTCTTTAGTTCCATGGGGGAACTAAGTGCTGGGAACAAAGTGCTGGGAAAGTACTTGGTTTGAATTGGCATGCGTTTATGTAAATTAAAAAACANCAAACACATTAGGACTAACATGAAATGGGACCCAGTCCCAGTGTAAAAAAAAAGTTCAGAGTCTGTCTGGTACCTACCCAGAGGTCTATTTAAACACAAGGTGGACCATGTTCCCTATTCCGAGATAAAGTCTAGTACCTTACCCAGACGGTATTAACACAAGATTGGACCAGTCCAGTGCTATTTGCCCATTTATTTACAAAATGATAGCTACCTACATTTTACCAGATGCTGTATTTGTCTAAAACACAATCCATCATTTTATATTACGAATACAATACCCAAAATACATTTCATCACATCCATCAGGTTGTGTCTTATTGAAACTCTTAAAACAGAATTGTTTCAAACTGCATTTGAACACCCTTTTTTTTTTGTATCTATACAAAGCACGAAGACTTTTCTAGGACTCAAGAAGATAATTTCACGTTGAGGATAATTGTTAATTTGTCAAGTCTTTCTTAGATCAAAAAGGCGTGAGGTCTGTTGGGCTTTTAGTATGGCCACTTGTAGGGGCAGCAGAATATTAATTTAATGGATTGTGTCTTTGGGATCATAACACTCTTTAGTGCACTGATTCTTTTAAGTCCATTCTTTTATTTAGGTTTAAATTCTTTAAAACATTAGGAATGAATGCTTATGGGCTATGACTCAATTAAATGTACTTTTGAATCAGTCTTACATATTGTAACACAAGATCCCCAAATCGAATGGATTTTTTTTATAATGAGCCTCCCATTATGGATTTTTTTTTTTTAAATGTTTAGCCCAATGCAGCTATTGTATGTTCAAGTGTCATTTCATTTTATCCTAGCAGATAGTTTTATTTTACGTGAGTGGAAGCATTACACTCTTTACACATTTTATAATATGTGTTGTGATTATGTTGTTTTAGAACCACAAGCCTCCCCGGGCTGATAAACCTCTCTCTGCTGTCCCCCCTAATTGGGAGCGCCAATAACTGAAAGTGATGAAGGTGAGACGAGGCGGCCGTGTTTCTTATCTCGTACTCTTACTTCGGCCAACCGTTTCCTATTTTCGTTACGGTTTCGGCCAAAGAATTTCCCATTCGGTTGTACCCCTAATAAAAAACCTATAAAATTACAATGAAACATTAGGAAACGGAAACGCTTTTCATCAATGTTTTGATGTCTTTTCACCCCTGAAGCATATCATGGCCTGACAACAATTGAAACCGGTGTGTGGCTGTGTTTGTGTGTGTTGTGTGTGTGTGTGTGTGTGTGTGTGTGTGTGTGTGGTGTGTGTGTGTGTTGGTGTGTGTGTGTGTGGTGTTGCTGTGTGTGGTGTGTGTGTGTGTGTGGGTGTGGTGTGGTGGTGTGTGTGTGTGTGTGATTAGTGCGGGGATGCGACTAACAGGAATAACCCGATTAGTCCGGAAATAAAATGTTTGGCAACACTACGATATTTAGCAACAGGGAAAATGCAACTTTGCAATGCCGACGATTTAGGAATATCGCAACCATCAGTCAGCCGTGCCATAAACCAAACCATCAGCGCGC